CAGCCGGAGCCCGGGGCTGCGCCCGACTCCCCCCGCCGGCCGGCCCGCGCCGCGGGGCGCACCGAAGGCTCGGGGGAGGGGGAGGCGGTACCTGGAGATTTTACACTTCTTGAGGCCTCCGTCTTCCGCTACTGCCGCTGCCACCGCGGAGGACTTTCTCTTCTTCTTCACTGGCATCTTCCGCCCTCCCCGGCAGGGTGGGCAGGGGAGCCAGGGAAGGGGCTGGCGGTGCGCTGGGGGCCCCTCAGCGCCGGCACCCAGTCCCCAGACCGCTGCGAGCGAAGGGGCAGAGCCGCCGGCCCTCCCCGGCGCGGCCCAGCTGCTGCCCGTGCCCAGGGCTCGTCTTTCTTTGCCTGGGAGAGACGTAGTTTCTCGCCTCTGGACTCTTAAGGCTCGATCGCTCTGGGAGAAGATAACGTGGACAGCGGGGCACCTCCACTCCTCCCGGAGAGCAGGAGGTTCTGTTTGACCCGGAAGCGAATTGCCCGGGACCGGAAATGACGCCACGCAGGGCCGGCTGTCGAGAGGGGGCGTTTCCTTGTTAGCGCCCTCCAATCCCGGACCCAGCAAACGAAAAGGGGACAGGAGACCAAAGTCGGTGTTCCGGCCGAGGTGTCCTGACCTGCCTCAGGAAACTTCCATTCTGCCCTAATGCTGGTCGTCCAGAAACGTTTCATGAGACCACTAATGCTTTGTAGTTGGGGTTAAAAACAACCTGTCAAGCACACCAGGTGTAACTTCTGACGTCTTCACAGTCACCTCAGGTGAGTGTTCCCATCCCTTAAATACATTGCCACCCAGTGCCCTGCTTTTCCTTTTTACTGGCCGTAATTTGAGCTTCCCGTCCCCACCGCCACTTCTTTCTGCTTTCCGACCTCTGCAGGCTTTCTCCTGTGTTGAAACTTTTATTTCTACAGAGCTCGCCTCTCCGAGCAGAGACGGGGGCACTCGCTGATTTAATAGAGAGGAACTTGGGGGACAACTCTAAGGGGCCTGTCCGTAAACACCCCAAACGCTAAGCACTCCACCTTCACCTAGGTAGAAATATTGTTGATAAATAAGGGCTCTCTGGTAAAGATTAAGCAAAAGTCACATCTGAATACCGAACAACGGTGATGTTAGAGGACTAAAATTTTCTTTAAGAGTAGTAAAAGCTGATGTAGTTTTAGAGAGATTACCTCCTCCTTGGGACCGTAATCTGGCCAATTGGAATAACCAGTTAGCGGTGTTAATTGATTCAGAATGGATGCTTGCCTCAAACTAGGCCAGTGAGTGCTAATGAAACGAATTTGAGTCGTTTGTATTATATGAAAATGAAGCCAAAACCCTAAGAAACCAAATCAAACAGGTGTCCCCAATGTGTAACATACCCCAGAATTTTTACTTATGTGAGCCAATAAGCTTACCCGCTTTGAATATAAATTATGTTACAATGAAAGAATGTGAAAGCCTTTCATCCTTCAACCCAGGTAAAAATGCATGGTGCCAAAAAGTAAAGCTCAATCAGATCAGGTTACTAAATGGAGCCATCTACAAAAAGAAGACAGAGGGACTTGTTAAACATTCAGCGCAAACAAAATCTAGCCTATCAGAAAAATCTATAGGACAAATAACCTAGATTCTGCAATAAATTGTTAGGAAGAGATGAGAGAGAAGGAATTCAAAAGAGATTTAAAGGATATGTCAGTCATTTGCAGAGCAGCGGGGAGGTGTCAAACAGGGACTCACACGTGCCAGGAAAGCCCTCTACCCCTGAGCCATACCCCTAGTCTCAGTAACTTTCAATATGGTTCTTATTTGAATTTCAACTGAACTCATGCAATACTATGGCACTTAGGGGACGACTGGAAATTTTAACACTAGCTGAATATTTGATGAAATTCTAAGACATCTATAGTGACAGCATGTCATATAGTTGGAGCCTGTAGTGGGGTAGAGTTGGGGGAGTAAGACTGTAAAGAAGTACAAGAAATCTTTTTTGGATAGTAGATATATTCTGTCTGGATTGAGGTATCTATATATATGTGCCTGTGTGTGTGTCAAAATTCACTGAACTGAACTGTACACATAGAAATATATGCCATGTGTGGCAAAGTACTATGGCTTTTTCTTTTCCAGTACAGTTTTCTTACAGAAAGTAATGAGAAGAAAAATAGAAAAATATGTTCTGGTTTCGGATCCAAAAATGATATTTGATAACTTTAGGAAAGGCATAGAACTTTATCCTTCATCTTATCTTACTGTTACATAAAAAGATTTCTTTAAAAAAATAAAAAAGCTCACACTAAATAATAGCCATCTGTAATGGCAGTGGACATAACTGAATAGGGAAATGAGCAAAAGCCCTGAAACATACCTTTGCCATCTGTTTGGCATTTTGATCAGACACATTCCTTGGCTTTGGGAAGTTATAGAACAAACTTTAGGAAAATGAGCTTTAAAAATAGTTATGCCTGTACCAAGGTAGCTAAAAATAGTACCTTAAAAATGTGTTTATATATTCTGTAGGTAGTTTATTTTTTTTTCTTAACATTTCTTTAAAATAGGATTTTACCACTTGTCAGGAAAGCAGGCAACATAGACATTAAGTGATTTGTGGGATGCCATGTGTTACTGGTCCTGGATCTATACAGATGCTGTCTTTTCTGGACATTAACATTGATTTTCAAAACAACGTTGTAAGTAAAAATTTTATTAATATTTCCATACACATAAACCCAGAGAGAGTTGACTCTAAGAAAATAGTAGAAATGAGATATTTAGATAGAAGTTTCTGTTTTGGTGTCTCAGTAAAGTACACAAGAACCCGTAGTGTTTTAAGAGAGATGCAGGGTTGCAGATCTGTGTAACAGATGCCACTACCCCGTGCATCCTAAAACAACATTCTTGTTATGGCTTGTATCTAGATGTCCCCTCAGAGCCTCAGGGAGGCTGGGTTATGGTGTAAATGTGGAATAAGGGTGTGATGCTCGGATTAAGGGTGTAGCCCCACCCTGGGTGTGAATGGCATTAATCAAAAGACAGCGTGGATGGAGTATGAAGGGGTAGAGGGAAGGCAGGCTTGCTGCTGCTGCTGCTGCTGGTTGTCTGCTGCTGCCTCCTGGCTGCTTTGTGATGCCCCTCTGCCATGCTACCCTGCCTTGGAGCCAGCCCTATGGACTGAAATCTCTGCAAAGTGTAAGCAAAAATAAACTCCTTCAACTTGTATTTTGTTTTAATAAAGAGAAAAATAGCCAAGACAGTGGTAGACCATATTGATTGTAGTCTGACTGTGACTGTGGTTCATTCTGAAACCCAGACTGGAAGAATAGCCACTATATGGAACATTGCTTGTCATGATAAAGGGAAAGGAAAATATGGTGAATCCTATGCTGATTGTTAAAGGTTCTGCCCTTTAATACTCCTGTTCAACCTATATGGCTACACATGAGGTCCCCATATCAAGAACACAGAATCTTCCCGCAGAGGCACACCGAATACATCCTCTGCAGTATGAGACTGGACTAAAATTTATTCAAGGTACACAGAAGAATGGATTTACAGAGCAGTATTAGGGAAAAGCAGGAGGTTGGTTTCAGTTTATACTTCACTGTGGTAGAAGGTTGGCGTGTTTTGGATTTGGAATGTCCCCCAAACCCTCATGTCCTCAGAAGTGGGGCTTTTGGAGGGTGCTTGGATCATGGGGGTGCTGTATGCCTCTGTGGATTCGTTGACAAGTGAGTTCAGTGGCTGAGTGGGCTGTTGGGAGTTGGTACCTGGTCAGAGAGGCTGGTCACTGGGGATGTGACCTGAAAGGGAATATTGTCCTCTCCAGCTCCTCTTTTCCTATTCGTCCTGGCCATCATGAGCTGAGCAGTATTCCTCTGCCAAACCCTTTTCCATGTCCTTGCTGCCTTGGAGCCAGCTGACTATGGACTGAACCTTCTAAAATCTGTGAGCCAAAATAAACCGCTCCTATTTTAAGGATACGTATGGGTATCAGGTATTGTGTCTCAGCAGCAAGAAAGTAACCAAGACAATTGCATTTTCGAAAAAGATCACAATATGTATCCACCCATATATTATAAAATCTTGCCATTCCATATAAAAAAGAGAATAGTTAATGCAACTAATAATAATAAGGATTTATTTTTTCAATTGTGAGAAATGGACTATACTAACATAAGACAATAGTAGGAGAAACTGGATGTGAACCTGTGGGAATCTCTGTAATATTAATTCAATTTGTTTGCAATTTAAAAATTAAAATTCACGATTAAAATTTAAAATTCACAATGAACAGAAAAAAATAAGTAAAATTTAGAAATAGTGAAGTTTATGAAGACAGAAGATAACAGAAGAGAGCCACCTAGATTCGATACCTTTGGAAAGGTCATAATTCATAAAGTTCTGGATTTGAGATCATAAGTAGAAAACAGTATCATGTGTGGCCAATGACAGAGTGATTTCAACTTGAAAACTAGCCAGGATGACTAAGAACAAGAGCTCAAGAGGGAAATTATATTAAGCAGGACACCAAACTTGCCTCTCAGTATGTGAATATATATCCCAAATGAAGAAAGTAGTTCATACAATGAAAATTACTGGCAGATAGTGCATTGTTTTGATGTTATTCTACAAAGAACTGGTTGGTTGGTTGCTTGAGATGCTAGAGAAGACTGTAAGTAAATGCAGTTTGTGTTAATTGTATTGTTAAAGTGCTTTCATAATCTTAGTCTTTGGTGGGTAGGAGTTGCATTTTTTGTCACACTATGTATTTCTTAGACTTAAAGTGTGTAGTGGGTTGACAAAGGGTGATCAACTTATAACCCCCAGCTGAACTGAGTAAGTGTGGTGCTGGGTGTGGGAGGCCCACCTGGGGACTGTTGCCAGCAGCATAAGAGGCAGACCTGGAGAAAAAGAAAAAAGGCTTTTGGGAAGTAAAGAGGCTGTTTTGAACTGAGAAAGGCTTTTGGGAGTGTTATGGTTTGTGTTTGGGTGGCCCTCCAAAGCCTCATGCGGCCATGGGGCAGGCTTTTAGAGTTTGATTATGGTTTGAAAGCTACACCTGCCCTGGGGTGGATAGTTTGCATATGTAAGGGAGAGGAAAAGAGTGCTTGAGGCCATTCCTCCCCCATTCCGCCCTGGTGTGTGCTTGTTGCTTTTGCTGTGTTCTGTCACCATGAACTGTAGCCTTCTGCCATATGCCACTCTGCCTTGTAATCTGCCAAGTACGGACTGAAACCTCCACAAACTGCAAGCGAAATAAACCTTTCCTTTCCTTTGGGCGTCAGGTATTTTGTCCCAGCAACGAGAGAAAAGTAATCAAGACAGGGAGCTGGTAGAAGCTGTAAGGAGCTGTTGGTTCTTTTGGAGGAGCTTGTCATGCTGGCTTTTCTGATGAACTTGGCTGTTTTCATCCTCTAAGGAGCTTGGGACCTTCTTGGTACTGAGAATAGCTTCAGTTCACTTTGTGGGAGCTCACGCCCTCACTCTGAGCAT